GGAAGTCGCAATAAGCATTTGGGATTTTGCTGGCCAACAATTGTTCTACGCATCTCATCCTGTTTTCATGTCCCATCGAGCAATCTATATCTTGGTTTATAATCTTGGAAAAGATTTGGACGACAAGGCAGAACCTCGTGCTCGTCAGGGAACGAGGGAAATTGTACTAGATAATGCAAGTAATGAGACCAATCTGGACAACCTTTTGTCGTGGTTAGTATCTGTACACTGCCTTTGCCAGCCCCATAATGACAGTCGGGTAGAAACTGAAGATTACATTTGCCCACCGGTAATTATTGTTGGTACCCACGCCGATGAGTTACCTGGAAGCGAGGATGAAAAACAGAGGCTCATAGATATCAAGCGGCGAAAAATAGAGAACGCAATTGAAAAGTGCGAGTTTCAGAACCACGTGATGAAGCCATTCTTTGTTGTTGACAACAATAAGTCGGCGGATGATGATGGGATTAAGAGTCTCCACTCGAAAATCAACGAAGTACTTAACATGGAGCCTTACTTTCCAGAACCAGTACCCATTCGTTGGTTGCACTTTGAGAAGGTAAGTTAATTCATTGGGAAACAACTGTTGAAAATAAGTCGTACATAGCTATGTATTCCCATCCCTCTGTCTCATGTATCAGTTTGTGTACAAACACTAAGGATTTTCTTCTAATATATTGCTATATACACTTTTGCTGTTAATTCATGAACGTAAAGCGTATATTCATTTTGTGCTAAGCGATAATCAATAACTTTTATTGTATTTTCTTGAACACTGCAAGTGACATCATTGGCGCGAAACGACTTTCAATAGCGATCATCGCTATTAAGAGTGAATGTCAGCATGCATCAAACAAATTCAAAAATTCGTGGCAAGCGTAAAAAATTAAATTTCGCTCAAACTTTCATATTCGGTACCTTATTATGTCTGGTGAATCACTGTGGTGTTTTTATCAAAAAATATTTTTTCGTTTGCGAGATACGATTTTTTTTTGTGAGAGAGATCAAATATGCAAATTTTTGTTGTTTACAAAGAGTGATTTGCGTGACCTCGTATAGCGAAAATACTTGACCTTTAGCGATTATACTTACAGGTTGTGTTTATCATTATCTCAACCGTTCTCTGGCTGAAAATAAAGTCCTAAAAAGAAACTAGTGATTTTTGACAATTTTTTAAATTATGCACACTTTTGATAACGTAAAAAGTACTCCTATTTCACACGTATTTTTCGTTATGACCGATATGGAGAAAACCCACAGGATTTCGTCCAGAGTAAGACCTTAGATTGGTCATCAAACGTATGCAAGAAAATCGATGTGTAAATGTTTTGTTTCTTCAAGAGAAGTACTCAAAGTTAGGAAAAATTTGCATATTTGCGAACTTGAAATCTACAAGTTGATTTCACATGCGGCAGTAACGACTGAAAAACTCCGCTAAACTTTTTCAAGAACATAGTAATACTTGAAAGTAAAACCGGCAGAACATTTATCAAAACATTTTATACCCAATTAATGTATTTTTGATAATTTTAATGAGAACGAAATTACATAGTGTACAATCCTAAAATCACCAACACATACTTTGTTGACATGATTCTCGAAGACAAATCCCATTGAACATTTTTAAGTTATAGATGAAAATAATACATTCTAATAGTAACTCCACGCTTTAAAAGAGAGCTAAGAAATATGCAGCCTAATCATCAATGTAAAACATTGTTTTTTTTCTATTATAAGCTAACAGAATAATTACTGTCAGGATCTTAATTATCATTGTCATGATCATGACACTTATGCATAAAGACTATAAAATAACTTTGAATCGATGAAAACAATTTCTAAACACTATTTTGTTAATGATCATGATATTATATATTGATTTATATTAGACTGATTCCATAAGTCGGTACCAGTTCCCTCTTAGTCCAGTCGCTGGCCCCTATTCTTTGCTCCGCTTTAAATTTTGTCGCCGAAGCTCCCTCTCTGTCGATTTTTTCTTTCGCTCAGCGACTTATGGAATCAGTCTTGGGGATTGGATATGGAAATACTTTAACCGCCAGGAACGCCTCTCCGATAATGCGGGTGTATAAAGACTGATCATTTTCGCGCGATTATCATTTGACTTATTCCTTTTGCCGGATTGTTTGCTTGGGCTTCCTGCCAAAAAAACAACAAAAACAAACAAACTACGGAACGAAATCTGCGACTTATGGAATTAGGCGAAACCTGCGACTTATGGAATTAGTTTAGATAATCCTGACCTGTTTTCGCTCGTAATATATGGTATAGACTGATTCTCATAAGCCTACAGAATATTCATTTGTCCAGTAGCTGGAATTTTTACATGGGCACTTATCTAACAAAGATGCAAGGACGTCAATGTATGGCTTTTTTCGTTTAACTTTTATATGTGTCCAGTCCTGTCCAGTTTCGTGGTAGCGTGGTTCATACAGAGATCATAATGGTTGTATAAAATTGGCTGATGGATGGCTATTGCGTCAACGACTTCTCGCTGAATCTCTTGTAAAGCAGATTCCCTCTCGGCGGCGAGTTGTTCAGCCGAAGTAGGAGTAACTTTTCTCTTAGCGGTTTCTCGAGAAAAGAAGCTTGCGATTTGTTGAGAGGAAAGGTAATCCTCAAGCAAAAACAATTGTAGGTTCGCCGCTGGGTAGCCTCGCCTTACGCATTGATTGGGAAACAGCAGAAGGATCAGCTTTATGGCCCGTTTGCCTTCCAACGTTACTTATGTCAAGTAGAAAATCTTTTTGCTTTTTCGAAAGACGCTTGTAAGATTTGGATGTCTTGAGGGCCCATCCCATACGTAGTTCCGATCCGCGCCTTGCTACGTTATCATCCTTTTCCAACAATGGTAGAGAGATTTGTGGAACAAATTCCAGCTAGATAAATGAATATTCTGCAGGCTTATGGAGAATTAGTCTATACCATATATTACGAGCGAAAACAGGTCAGGATTATCTAAACTAATTCCATAAGTCGCAGGTTTCGCCTAATTCCATAAGTCGCAGATTTCGTTCCGTAGTTTTTTTTTTGCAGGAAGCCCAAGCAAACAATCCGACAAAAAGAATTAAGTCAAATGATAATCGCGCGAAAATGATCAGTCTTTATACACCCAAGTTATTTTATAGTCTTTATGCATATTTCTTAGCTCTCTTTTAAAGCGTGGAGTTACTATTAGAATGTATTATTTTCATCTATAACTTAAAAATATTCAATGGGATTTGTCTTCGAGAATCATGCCAACAAAGTATGTGGTGATTTTAGGATTGTACACTATGTAATTTCATTCTCATTAAAATTATCAAAAATGCATAAATTGGGTATAAAATGTTTTGATAAATRTTCTGCCGGTTTTACTTTCAAGTATTACTATGTTCTTGAAAAAGTTTGGCGGAGTTTTTCAGTCGTTACTGCCGCATATGAAATCAACTTGTAGATTTCAAGTTCGCAAATATGCAAATATTTCCTAACTTTGAGTACTTCTCTTGAAGAAACAAAACATTTACACATCGATTTTCTTGCATACGTTTGATGACCAATCTAAGGTCTTACTCTGGACGAAATCCTGTGGGTTTTCTCCATATCGGTCATAACGAAAAATACGTGTGAAATAGGAGTACTTTTTACGTTATCAAAAGTGTGCATAATTTAAAAAATTGTCAAAAATCACTAGTTTCTTTTTAGGATTTCATTTTCAGCCAGAGAACGGTTGAGATAATGATAAACACAACCTGTAAGTATAATCGCTAAAGGTCAAGTATTTTCGCTATACGAGGTCACGCAAATCACTCTTTGTAAACAACAAAAATTTGCATATTTGATCTCTCTCACAAAAAAAATCGTATCTCGCAAACGAAAAAATATTTTTTAATAAAAACACCACAGTGATTCACCAGACATAATAAGGTACCAAATATGAAAGTTTGAGCGAAATTTAATTTTTTAAACTTGCCACTGAATGTCTGGTGTTTGCTGACATCCACTCTTAAATAGTATTTTTAAAAATATGCAATAGCGTTCATCAGTATCAATAGACAATTAGTTGAACTACTGGACAATCATTTGTTTGGAACGTTGAGTGTTCAATGAAATTTCAATTCAATTATCAGTTCTGCTATGTAAAGAAAAAAATGACAAATGTATTCCATTTATTTCTTCTTCGCAGGCTTTGCAATCACTTGTACAAGAGAAGAAGACACCATTTCTGTCAGTTAAAGAACTTTCAGAGATCGCAGAGGAGGTTTGCTCCATTGATCAGACGGAGATCGCCACCATGCTAAACTTTTACCACAGGCTTGGCATCATTATCAAGTATGGTGACACAGTTGTACTCGACGCTAAGTGGTTGATTAACCTGTTCAAAAGTCTTATTACTATTGAACCAGATGAAGTGGTAATTCAATGTTAATATGTTTTATTCATTCGAATTTATCTCAAGGAAATTTACATTTTTATAATATAATTACCTATGAAATACCAACATTTCTCCATTTCATAAGATTATATTTTCACAAGTGAAAATAACATGTTATTTGCACTAGTGAAAACAACACATTCGAGGTTTCTCTATATAGTGGAAGTAGAAAAAGCTATTTTACGACATAATTTGCTTTCATATACAATTATTTAATAAAACGAATATTACATGGTCGCTTGGATATACGAATTTTATCTTCTCGTGTTGAAAATCTGACACTCGTTCTCTACACTCACTCGTGAGAAATCTTTTCAACACTCGAAGATAAAATCCATATCTCCGCGCGCCCATGTAATATCCTCTATGTATTACATTATAATGACTGACACCCAGATTACTAGCACCTTCATATTGCAGATATAGCGGATATTACATGGGCGTGAAGATACGGATTTGCGGCAATCTCGAGATTTTCAATACGAGAAGATAAAATTCATATCTCCAAGCGTACATGTTAATATTCTGTTAAATATATGAAAGCAAATTATGTCGTAAAATACGACTGTGTTATTTTCACTTTAGTAAATATGTTAGTTTCACTAGTGAAAATATTATCTTTTCGAAAAAACGAAATATAGGTATTACATAAATAATACTATGATAAATGGCAATATGACAAACACGTTTTTTCACAGCTCTGGCAGAGATCTCACCCGTATGACAAATACCTTAAACGTAATGACAACCACCTATTACACACACCTCAAAACAACTCTACTTTACAGACATTTTTTCACTTAAAAGTGAATGGCTCTGTCATCAATCAGTCTTTTGCAACACTTAGAGTTCGAACGCAAAATATAGCTTTTACATTTTTAGTGCTTTAAATAGGTCTATTTATTACCCTTTAGAAACCTAAGCATCGAATGTTTTGGAGAGAGCTGGCAGAAACCGGAAGATTGCATACGGACCTGATCAATCACGTCTTTCAAGAACTTTCCGAAGCTAGGGATGACGCAATGAAAGACATACTAGATATGATGGAATATTTTGGATTGATTTCCAAAATAATCCCAAGTGATCGCAAGAAGAAATATTGTCATTTGGTTCCCTCTCACCTGACATCATCACCCGAGGACGAACTAAAAAAGTGCCACCCATCATCAGGCGAACCCTGTCCGTTGTATATCCGCTTTAAGGACGGATTCATCCCACACGGTTTATATTTCCAACTGATTTGCAGATGGTGCTCCATATATGGATCTCAGGAGCGACCGAATCTGTTTCCGAGAGAGCCTAAGTTGTTTCGTAATGCTGCCAAATTTGTCCTGGATAACAATTCCAAACTCATCATGACAGTAGTATGCTGCAAGAGCACCATTAAGGTATGCCTGCATTCGAATCACGAAAACAAAACTGGCGTCGATTTCAAGGCAGTTGAGATAAGAAACTTAATCCAGGAAAGCTTAGACAGATTAACAGAAAAGTGTCCTTGGTACAAAAGCCTACAGTATGAATTGTGCATTAGATGTCCATTGTGTGCAGTGAACGCTACTGGTAAAGTAGAAGGACAACCTTTTGGAGACGACAACTGCCTGCATCCAGCCACTGACGATGAAGAATTTTATTGTGAAGAGAAAGATGAATGGTCAGAGGTGTTGGGACTGCATCATTGGTTTTCCAGAAGAAACGTGAGTTTTAATATGATACTCTGGGAGAGTAAATTTTAGCTTTCGACAAATATTCAAGGCAGATTTGACCCGGGCGCTCCTTGACATCTCTACATTTCCTGGGTCTGTGCCTTCATCTTATAGTGTTAACGTTTAAATAAAATCGAAGCCAAAATTACGCGAAAGTTGCCATAAAGAGCATTGTATAAATAGGGCAATCTATAGTTCCTAAGAGTAATCAAACTTTGTCCTTTCAATATAACTAACACTTAGCTTAGTTCCGTCCTTTTATTCCCTGGAAAGACGTGCATTTTCCTTATGGTCATTGGAAAATCGAAATTAATAAAATGTTTATGATCTTTATTTCTGTAGTCTTCTGCTTCAAAACCAATTCACGAAGTAAGTCGACCCGAGATAGTAACGACTGGTATAACTTCGACTACAGGTAAATCATTTGATACAACTATAATGACAATAGTAAATTTAGTATTTCACGAGGTAGCCTCATCACAAAAGGTGATTTTCATTATTATTTTTCTTGACTGTGGCATCGAGTTATTCATTTGAAAACTATAACATTAATTTTAAATTGTTAAAACAGTTTGCATGGCAGAGGAGATTCGTCAAGGTTTTCCACAATGATTAATGCATGACAGAAATAATTAATTGATTGATTGATTGATTGATTGATTGATTGATTGATTGATTGATTAACGGTAACGAGTTTTTTTTCATGGAATGCTATTTCAAGGTTATTGGTATGTTTAATCAATTCTTTCAGGATACTTGTGTCTTGATGAAAATAACAAAAGATGGGTTGTGGTTGGAATTGCTATCATGAAGGTACTGTTGCCTGCTTTGCGAAGTTTTGTTCTTCCAAAGATTGCCAAACACTACAATGATCTGAAGGCCAATCACAACATCGACTCCCAAGTCTATGGAGCACATCTTAAAATGGATGGAACATATAAATTCAATTATGACAGCATAAACAGCAACCAAGGAAAAAAAACACCGATCTTTGACTACAAGGTCACTTCTGAAGTCGATTTGGCAAAGCTGTATTTGAAGCCTTTTATGGCCAAATTCACCGGTTAGTTTTAAGGTGGCTCCCTACAGTTGTTTTTCGACAACACCTCTCATTTTAAATTCGCTTTTTGAAAGTCTTGCTATGCACCGATTTATTTCGTGTTTAAAACAGTATTAAAGCATTGACCAAAGTTTTGTTTGGCATAATATTTAGCTCTATCAACGTTACCTAGGCAACGGAATTTGCATTTTGTCGAAATTCGTTTTTCCGAAATATCTCAAAAAATTGATGAGATCCAGAAAAGCGGTWGACATCATCATTAACTTCAAACTAKTGCACAACGTTTTGGAATAGTTGAAAACAAATTCATCTGTTCGATTTCCAATTATATGCAAAAATCACATCCATGAAATATTTGTCAATATTAAAAATAACAACTGTAGGAAGCCACCACGTTATTTTAACTTTGTTGATGTTGTTTTTGTTTAAAAGAATTGTATATTTGAATGAAAAAACTTTTATGGCATCGATTTCCATGCGCTAGGTGGCTTCTCCATGACAGTCTCAAAAATTGCCAGGCGCTGGTTCCCTTAGAATTTGGCATCGAGTTGTTCACCTCATCCTTTATTCACAGGAATTGATGAAACCTGTGACCTGTCGGCAGTTCTTGGAATATTATCTTCTGCAAGCGTTTTTACCACGGCAACACAAGATGGCGCGAAAGATGTCCGGCAGCACGTACGTAATGAGTGGGGTCATTGCAATTTCACTGTATGGAACGAAGCCAAAATTACAGACTGCTTCAAATTCATGAATTTTCTGGTGAAAAGTCTGAAACTAACTGGTGATCAAGAAAAGAAGTTGTTAGGAAACCTTAAAGAATGGGAAGAGAAAGGTAAGTTGATTATAACTTTGCACGGATTTCTGTTGAAAGTATGAACTTATAACGAGAATACGAGAAATGATCTGTAAATCATGAGCCGTCAGGAGTCAGGCAGGCATAAATCCGCAAATCAGCACGCGTGTTAGAATTGAGCTATAATAGTTATCTATAACGTATTCCGTTCTAGGTGTTGCCCTTTGCCTTCGCAACACAGCTGATGGAGGCCTGTTAAACGTCTTTGAAAATGTGCCTTTGGTGTTAAAGGAAGTACAATCTCTCAAGGAAAGTAATCCTGAAGAGTTCCAACGAATTAACTCCTCACTACAAGCGTTCAAAGAAGAGGTTATCAAATGTCTCAAAAAGCTTGAAGAGGGCCAGAAAGATATGAAAACAATGTTAACAGCTGTTGCAAGTAGTGTTAATGATGTGAAGTCAATACTCGAACTATCCTCACCAAGACTTTGAATATGCTAGTGAGGTAATTTGTCTGGGATAGAGACAAAAAAGATCTCGTTGTCTTCGTCTTCTTTCCTTCTGCTTGTATTGCATTCTGTTTTAAAAAATATTCTCCAATCGCAATCACTAAACTAATGAATGATCAGTCAGTCAGTCAGTCAATTAATTAATCAAATGATTACTAATCAATCGTCAATAAGGGGTGGACCATTCCATAATTTATATATTTTTATTATGATTACTACATACAAGTTTTTTAAAACATCGTTACACAAATTTACACGATACCGCAACATTTAAGCGTATTTTTGAATGTCAATAATTACTTCAAATTTTCTAGAGTTATATGGGACGTCTTTCAGAGAATCACTGTTATCCTAAACGTTAAATTCCCCGGGAACAATATCGTTTCGAATTGTATTTTCTGCATTAGAAAATTGAAAATGCAAAAATGAAGTGTTGTCAATTAAAGAATTGCGTTTGACTTTCTTTTAGTGTTTTAAAAGTTGTGTTTGATCGATGTGGTCAAATAATCACCATATATAGAAATGCTGAGGAGCCAAAATTTCAATATATTCAATATATATTCAATTAGATAATATATCACGTTGTTCCTATAGATTATTTTATTCCAGAACAGAATCATAGGGACAGCTATGGTATTTAGAATTATACAACTTTTCAGTAAAATCAGACGTTTTGATTGGTTGGCTTTCGTGTGTTATCAAAGTATAGATACACGGATTACGTCAAAGCTAATTGTTTGTTGTATAAAACAGATAGATCTCATTTTTCCGTGTGTGTGTACTCTAATAGATACACAGATGACGTCAAAATGTAGTGAGAACAACAGTCACGTACTCGACTGCGTCTCGTGCGTACTTTTTTGTTCTCACTACATTTTGACGTCATCTGTGTATCTATTAGAGTACACACGCACGGAAAAATGAGATCTATTTGTTAAATTCAGCATTATAAAACAAAACAAAAAAGATATATATAATTTGATTTGGGATATTAACTTAAGAGCTTTATTGATAATATTTCAAAACTTCGAGAATATTGTAATTTCATACGAGAGTCATTTGATATCTACTGGTAATTACCTTTTACTTTAAGGATATGTCATTTATGATAGGTTTGTTTATCGTGTTATTAGAGAACTGCTTCTTTAGATCAACTTTAGATCAACATTTTAACATGTTATTTGAGAGTATTTTCCTGCTATTTTCTAGAGTGTTTACTTATTTGCTAATAGCTTGAAGGACCTGTCTATCATCCTAGGCTAGTGTCCGATGTTGCATTAATGGTTACAAAGTACTTAATATGAAATTAGTAATGATTTCTTTTATGCTCGAAGTCTAATAACATTTAATAGCAAGGTATATATATGAAAATGCATTTAGTACCGAATCAACAATGTAGTATTCTAGGACTTTACGCTAGAAGCAAGAAATATCTTTTAAAAGTGTTTTTCTGTACTGCGTCATCTTAAAATTGACGTTGTTAATTTAATTCGTAATTACGCCCTTTTAGTACCATTACCAATAGGGATTCTGCTTCTAATGTCAAAGCTAAGTAAATAGAAATTTGAACTGATTTTGTAGCTTAGAAAATACCTTGTAAAATCTAAAATCTAGTCAGTAGTTGAATAAAGCTCAAAGAATCAGAAGATCCCGAGTTCAGTCCTACTAACAGAAATATTTGAGAACTGATGTAACAACGGGAATTTTAAGTTTGTTAATATAAACGACTACTCATGTTCTTCGGTTCTTGTATAATTGAAATCGATTCTACTGGTAAATATTGACCTGTCGAAAATAATTATTAGTCATTAATTATGTAAATTAGGTGTCGTCTCGTGTAGCTTGACAAGATGGCGGATGAAATGATTAAAAACAAATGACTAATCTTTTGTTAAGTGACTCTAATTTCTTTTGATCCTATGCGTGGCATTGTTGGGACAACATTCAAAGTCATTTCTTCACTTATCGTTCTTTTTTCAATCCTCGACTATTTATCCTCGACGCTCGACTTTTTACTCTCTATTCCCTCGACCATGGATCCCCATGGATTCTTTAAAGTCATTGATGTATATGTCCTTTCGTATTATACTCTTTCTTATACGCATATCTATAATGATACCGTGTTAATGCTTCAGTAAAGGTGCACTGAACCAAGTTGTGGTTGACCAGGACATCAATAAAGACATCGAGAAAGCTGCAGAAGAAGGACGAAGGTTTATACAAGAACTTAATTTCTGTGTCAAAAATAGGAGTGTTACGCTATCTCACTTTAGGGATATCGCACACCTTTTAGAAGGAAAGAGTGACAGTGTGTCAGCCCAAACAGAAATTGAGGAGAAAGGCGATGCAGATGAGATAATATTGACTGAGAAGGTAAAGAAAGCCCAAGAGACGTTGAGTGTGGACAGAAAAACGATGACAATAATCGATGATACATATGAAAAACTAATGCAGAGTTCAAAAATTCTTTGTCGCCCAAGACCTGATATTGGTGGGAAAGATCGACTCATTGCCATGCTACTTGTCGCCGATGTATTTTCGCAATCATCAATGAAAACAAATAGCTCCACTCAAGCCACAATTGCTGCCTGCACCATTTTATGGAGTCATTTAGCAGAAGGCAATGATCAGGAACATTTAATTGCAAAAATTGCTTCCGCTTGTACACCTGTGATGGCAGACGCTTTTAACCAAGGTGTGCTTGGGTCTTCCCGCAACGTGATAGAATTCTTTGTGCCCAATGATGCACAAGAATGTTCTGAACTGGCATTTGATATTCATGAACTCATTCATACTTTGGTAGAACTGAACGATGGTTCCCAATCTGGAGCATCCAGGATGCTTCGAAGTATAGTTCAACGATATGATGAACAGCTGCAGAGAATTGTGGAGTTTGTACAGTTGCTTTCGTAAGTGATTATTGCTATTAGTAACTATTACTATTACTATTAGTCACACTATGACTCAACCGGAACATTTTTAATAGCTATTTTAAGTAGCTTCAACAACAAATTTTCCTCGGCTCTCATTGTTCAAGAATCGACCACGTGACGCGATAGTGCTTGCCGCGGACGATTACTATTTAACAATTAGACCTCGAGGTCGAGTGGACTACGAGTTAATAGCCCATGAGGCCGAGTCCGGAGGGAGGCCCTAATACCAATCTTCAAGATTAAATATCTCGGCCCCGTTTTATCCGATCGCATTATAACCTTATTTTAACATTTAGACTCACGAAAATCGATCCAAATTTGTATCATTTTAGGGGTCATAAGCACTTTAAAGACTGATTTCGATCAAATTATGTTGAACTGTAGGGAAGATCGGTTCTCCAAAGTTCCAAGTTCATTTTGACGCTAAAATCTATTTGTTTAGCCCTTCCCAGAACTTCCCTTGCTTTCAAGAGAGTGATCGATGAAATAATCAGAGCCTCGATGGAATATAAATGTTAAATGCACAAGTCAAACAGGCAGATTGCAGGACTTGGACACCTGCTTGCATGGCACATAGCAACACGATCTTGGAATGTAAAGCGACTAAAGCCAAATCTGAAAATTCCAAAGATAAGCAATGAAAAAAAACCACAACGACAAGTTTTTAATTTATCAATGTCATTTAACTCATCTGTTAATGTTTTTCATTGTGAGATTTTTTTGAGCTGTTTAACAACTTTACGAAATGCCATAATTTAGTGCCGGAATTTAGTCAAAAATGTTCTTTAAACATTACCAGCAATTCCGGTCATTTCCGGTGCAACTTAAGTATTGCTACATCACATTGATCTTCAAAGTTGGCTGCTCAATTTATAGAAAAATGTATTTAATTTAGAAAAGAAATAGGAATTTTTTTCATCGTAACATGTGGTTCGTTGCAGCACCTCGTAAACACAAGAGTATCATTTCTACATCAAGTTAGTGGTAATTTTGAGCTTTGTAATGAAAAAAATGTACAGACAAATTCAACTTCAAAATTACAACCGAAGCGACCATACATTCTCTGTATTTTTAGTCAAAGTTAGCTGGATATCCTTACCTTATAAACGATTTTCTCTGCTAAATCGTTTCGCTACTAGCAACCGCAGACCAAAATCATCGCGGTAACAAAATGTCTCGGATTGCTAGTAATGAGAAGATGTTTTTAACAAACGCGAAAACTTCACATAAACTAAATAAATAAGTCTTCATGAGTTAAATGAGGTCGATATAAGTGTTTTTGTGTGTGACTTCTTTCGAAGGGAGAAAAGAGCAAAAGGCTACCTTCCAATTTTAATCATCGATCTAACTTTATTATTAACAAAAGTCTTCACAGTCGGGAAAAAAGARAAAGAAATACTCATTATGGAAAATTTCAGGTCTTCATAAATTAAAATGAGGTTGGCAAAACATTTGGGGTTTTGTGACCGCTTACCTTCGGAATTTTCATTGTTTTTATGCGTTCTGCCTTAATCCTACTACCTTAATCCAAAATCGTGTTGTTATCTGACATCAAAGCACGTGATCAAGTCCTACAAATGGCCAATTGCATGATATAACTCCAGTTTATGCTTTGCTACAAAAGTGAACAGCTCTACGAAAATAGGCTAAAACCATCGTGAATGGCGGCTGCAAAGTGAAAACATTCTAAAACCATGCAGTTAATCCATAAACATTCAGCTTTTTACAGACATTTTGAAAGTAAGACATTAAATTTGTAAATAAGCTGTCCTTTATCATGGTTCTTCGTCAAGTCTTAGGAGACGACCGCCATCTTGATGCTTTGAACAAAGGTCTTATATACTCCACCAAAGCAGACAATACGTCATAAGGAAAACCATTTTTAGAACTAATCTTGAAAAAGGACTTTCAGAACTTTTTATGTCAAAGAAAAGTAAATCGAAATTAAGTTTTTGTTTTCAAAATGCTATGAAATCAGAAATGGTAAAAACTGCATTGTAAGCTAAGATATAATGAGCTCAAGAATTTTGATTTATAAATAGAGCACTACAATAATAGATCAAGTCTCGCTGTTCCAGTTTTTTTTTATTTTAATATCACAGTCATATATCTCCAAGAATGTGTAGTATTCATTGCCATCACCAAATATGGCTTCAGTATACACTACAATATAAGCACAATATGTTACTCCTGCGTAATTATACTTATAATTATACAGCTAATTTCCTCCACTCTAATTGGTGGAGAGTCGACCACTTCACCTGATAGTGACCGCCGTGGAGTGATAATATCAAAAGTCGAAAAATAAAAACAATAGAGCAGTTTAAAAAAAAAAACGCTTACTCGCCTGTAATTCAGATTTATATGCACAAATCTGTCTATCTATTTTCTGTGGTATTTTGCTTTGATTGTTGCTCTTAGATGTCTTCCTCAAAACTTAACTGCCCTCGAACAGCTTTCTTTAGCAAGTATTTATTTTTCGGAACATCCAGTTTTAGCGGGCAACTATTATCGCAGCATTGATGCTGTCAATTCAACTACAATCTATTGCAAAATAAACGGAACACCTTTCCCCATTTCCCCACTCCAATGTTGAATACACGTTAACCGTATTTCCAGGACGATTTTCAACCGATTCAATCTTCAAATAAGCGCAAAACAACATTGGAAAGAGGGAGGGGAGGTCGTAGTAACACACTCGTGGGGGTGTTTCACGTTATTTTGCAATAGATTGTCTATAAGGGATTATAAAGTGATAAGAGTGTGTGACGTGCGGTTAGCGACACGTAGGTATAGNGGTAGTAGGAATTCAATGATTGTAATAAAGTGTCACAAATATGAAATTTTACTTTTCAACTGCTCTAAGCGATAGACAGCTCTAACGCGCATTTTCTATTATATTCAGTTTGTTTGTGTGCTCTAGGGAAATATGTTAAGTCCAAACGACCTACCAAGCTCGAAGAAACAAGCCATCATGGAGTGTGAATTTCGATCGATCGATCATACGAAAAGATCATGGTCGTTCAGTGTAAGATTTTGGCGTTTGGTATAGTAACAAATTTATCCATAAATTTTGCTTTGCTTAAATTATCACATTAACAACATTATTTTTAACTCAAAATAAATGACAATCGATCAAGTAATCTGAATGGAAATGGTCCGAACAGACTCGAATGTGTTTACTCGGCGTCCATTCTTTCCGACATAGGTTTGCTAAACATTTATCGCGTCTCTTTGACAAAAGATCCATCGCTTTTTCACCTTGATGAGTGATTACACTCGGGAAACAATAATAAAACTTTTTATTGCGATTTGAGTGATTTGAACAACCGACAACGGAGCAAAAATCGACCATGTTTTCACTAACAACTGACGGGTAACAACAAAACCTGGGCCCTGGTCCATCTGGGCCATGGCCTACCCTATGGCCTACCCTATGGCCTACCTTTTTTTACTCATTTTATATTTCCCTTTAAAAAATCATCCTTGGACAAATTCGTTTCCAGCAGCCATTTTTGTTTTATGTAACAAGAGTTATTAGTTGGGCTTCCTGTGTTAATGTGCTTAATGACT